AAAGAAGGTGTTTGGGTGCCTCACGAACTCTCCGATGATCATCGTTTTCAACGTGTGAACGTTGCTTCGTCTATTCTGGTGCGTAATGCGCGTGAACCATTTTTGGACAGAGTTATCACCAGTGATGAAAAATGGATTCGCTATGCGAATATTAAACGCCAAAAAACAATGGCTCAGTCCTAGACAAAACCACTTCCGACCACAAAACCTGGACTCCATCCGCAGAAAGTGATGCTTTGCATTTGGTGGGACATCAAAGGAGTAATTCATTTCGAACTCCTCAATCTACAGCAAACTGTTAATGTAGAGATCTATAGTCAGCAACTGGAACATTTAAATCAAGCCCTTCATCAGAAACGCCCTTCACTCGTCAATCTCCACGATAATACACGTCTACATGTGGCAAGTTTGACGCAACACAAGATTATGGAGTTTGGTTGGGAAGTTCTCCCCCACCCACCATATTCTCCAGATATTGCACCATCAGATTACCATCTTTTTCATTCGCTGCAAAACTATCTTCATGAGAAAATGTATGCAAATGTGGAAGGTGTTAAAGAGGACATTGACATGTTTTTTTTTGCTTCAAAACCAAGTGATTTCTTTAATCAGGGCATTAACAACCTGATTGTAAGATGGAAAAGCATCATCGATAAGAATAGAGACTATTTCATTTAATAAATGTTTTGTTTCGATACATAAGTTGTTCGGGTTTTTCATCTAAAAAAAGTGATATTAATTTCTTGATGACCTAATACTAAATATTTTGATTAAAATCAATAAAAATAATGTACGAAGAAAAATATAAAAATTTGCTAAAGCTATTTCAATCAAACCAAAACCGGATACATTGTTCCTGCTTCTTGCATGTGCTTTGCATGACATTTCAAAATTCCATTTAATGAAGAATTGATTTATTCTATTCTCGTTGCAACACAACGTAAATGAAAAGTTGCCGATACCAAACCTTTTTGTTAAGTCATCGTATAGGTGACTCTTGCGAGTACACGCAAGCAAAATATATGATTGGAGCAAGCCTATCTAGTTGAAGGAGTTTTTGCACATGTTCGAGAGAAAGCACCATCCTTTTTTAGTTGGGTGCGTTAGAGAATAAGCATGTATGTGTAGAAATAAAATAAAGTGAGGGAAAGAGCACAAGTGGAGGCTCTACGAAGTTTTTAAATCGTTTAAACACATAATTGGTCATAGATAGAATGATGAGAGAAGAAACGTAAATGATAGCCTTCTTGATCACACATTATCAAAAATATCCGGCCTTTTCAAGTTGAAAACAACTGGTCGTCATGTTTGCGAAAAATTGCTATATTGCCTCAATTTTCGGCCTCTGACGCCGCGGACACATAGCCCATATTACTTCCCGCACAAAGTTGTATCTGTACTCTGAGTTTGGAGTTTGTAGCTTTAGAGATGTGGCTGTGTATAAGGAACGGACCCACAGAGAGAGAGAAAAAAAAAGAGCCAGAAATATTCGCGATTATATA